TATATATATATATATATATATATATATAAATACTAAAATAAACTACTGCTTACTACTTGTGCTAATATTCCTACGTTGCTGTTTTTCACTTATCGTGGGGCTTCAGGGTACAGATCCCCCACGGTAAACAAGAGACTACTGTAATGCAATTTTTGGTGCATGCTGTATAAATATTGTGCTCTGCAAAATAAAATGTATTAAAAATACAAAAGCGAACCAGAAAATGCTCCTGGCTGACATATAAACTGTAGTTACTTAAACTGCTGAAACCTTAGGACATTTATTTTCTCAAGTTCCACATTTAGGTCATCTTCAGATTCAGTTAGTTCAGCCTTACAACCGAGAGGCTAACCATAGGAACCTCAGGTTCACCTGCCACACTGCAGGCTTATAAGTTTTGTGGCAACAAAACAGTTGTTACATTTGTTTTTGTCAAAGAGGTACTGTTGAGTACCAAAGAGGTCACCAAAAACCAAAACCCCTAGATTTTTCTTATATTTAGATGCAAAGTTAGCAACAACCCAGGCATAAGAAGTCAAACCTTAAAACACCAGAGCATTAGACCTCCTTAAAAATCCCAAAGCTAAAAAAAACAACCTAATTTGTACTACCGGTAGTTTGTTTGAGAACTGAAGGTACAAATATACCCCACTGTTTGAAACTCTTGTTTCACTGAAAAGAAAAAGCGCATACTGTGCACACAAACCATTTTTGGCATTTTAGATTTACGTTGTCAGTAGCAACAATGTCTTCTTAGTCAAGTATCAACAAAATGCTGGTTAAATATTTGTATGTGATGAGTTTAAAGACAATGTAAAACCTTTACATTTATATAGAAAGGAATCTAAATAAAAACCTTAATGCAACTGTTAAAACTTTATCCCTGTTAAATCAAATATTCTTTAAGTTTCCCCACCCACAAAACAAACCAACAAACTAAAAAAAGCTCCACATCCCGAGCATCTTCAGGGCAAGTCAGGGCACAAACATTTATATCACCACCATTATCTCACAGCCAAAACAAGTGATGTTCAGCAGCCAACACGTCTCTTGTGAGACTGGAGATTTTCTTCTTTGTCTTGTCCAACAGCTCTCCCGCCATGATCTGGGCAAACACAGGTCAGGCTCTGGGTGGGATTAAACCGGAGGGAGACGGAGAGCACACACTGGTCATGCAGACAGAATGCGATAGATGGAACAGAGAGGCAGCAGAGGAGGAGAGAGCGGACAGAGGGAGGTGGGGGTAGAACGTGATGGTCCACGTGACTCTGGCTCAGTCACTGCAGGCTGTTACGTAAGCGCACCCCCTGCCCCGTCTCCTCATGGACTGAGCAGACTCCGCTTCTCTCCAATCCCTCACCCAGCAGACGCCGCCCGCCTTTTTTCCCCCTCCTCCTTCCACTCACATGGCTCCTCACATGGCTCCTTCCCTTTCTTTGACTCTCCTCCACCCACTCATTGTACCCCAGGGGAGCCACCAACCTCTGCTGCCTGAGCTGTCACTCCGTCTCTCTCCTCCTGTTTTTGTCAGACTGCCTCTCTCTTTCTCATTATTTCCATCTTTCGTTGTCTTTTTCCCTCTCTCTGACTCTCGGTGCAGCGAGGCTGCAGCTCCACACTCAGGGCTGAAGGGAAACGACAAAGAGGAGGCCACAAATACTCGCTCGAGCACCCTCGCACACACCTACACAGTCTGACATTTCACAGGTTGTTAGTGCTCCGTCTGGCTTTTTGGGTGAGTTTTTAAAAAGTGAACGATTTTCACCATGAATCCTTTTAACCTTCTTTTAAAAATCATGAATCATATCATAATCATGAAAAAATATCTTGTCTGGCTGAGAAAAAAAAAAAAAAAACAGAAGCTGGGATGCACTGATGAAACGATAACACCGCACCACATGATCTCCACCCGTTTTAGCACAATAAAACAATTTGTTTAAGAATTAACTTAATTTTTTTTCCTTTTCTGACTGAAATGTTTACACGAACAAGATCTGTATTAATTTTGACTTCACAGCTACAACAAACTCTTGATGACCTAACTTGCTTGTCACATCTGGTGCACACAATAATACACAGAATATCCCTTTATCAACTCTTTTCATTCACTTTTCAGACCTCTAGCTGAGAGGAGGTGCAGCAGGACACCGGGTCCTGTAACCACCCCTCCACCGCTGCAGTATTGATTAGTTTGTTCAGTGCACACACACACACACACACACACACTCTCCTCCTCCCTTGACTTCCTCCTTTCCTTTCTCCTCACTGCGTGTCCTCAAGTGCCTCCCTGCCTTATGTAACAGACAAACCCACAGCATACTGATGAGGGGAGTCTGGGCTCTGGGCCGAGGAACCAGCGAGGGAAACAAGAACTTCACTGCTGCACTGCTGATGGGAGGACAGCGCTGCTGGCAGATGAAAACGAGCCTAAACCCCTTGCAAACTTTTGAATACTTTCACTTAATTAAAACGTTTCATATGCACGAGACGCAAAGATTTCCTGCCAGATAAACAAAAGTTAAAAGACGGATCGAGTACTCACAGATTCCTGAAAGGATTGCTTCTTGTCCAGCATCTCCCTGAGGGTCTGCAGAATCTTTATACACAGATTTTCCTCTTTTTCCATGAGCTTCTTGGTGTGTTTGATTAATCTGGCAGGGCGACAGAGAGAAGTGCTGTATCATTTATGGCCGTTTCCAACTAGTGCAGCTCATAAAACAAAGCGATGCATTATTGACCACCACAGATGAGCTCCGCTAAGGTGCAGCAGCAGAATAACTGTGAGCCTTTCGGTTTAATAGTCTGTTAAATTAGTTTTTTATATAAGAAGGTAAATGAAGCACGCCGCAGCGCTGCTCACTTGCAGTTTTAAATAATTGTTGCTTAGTTTCAACTGTTTCCTGAGCCTCTACACCTTTTAAACAGCATTAATATTTCACGGCAGTTAAAAAGTGTGAGCTTTTGCTGATTCATCTAAAACAATGAATGACTTTCAGGTCTTCACAAGCAGATTTTTCTTCTTCTTCAGTACAGCTCAATATACGGTTCTGGAGAGCCTCTTACTTTGACATGAAGGCGCCGCCATCACAGCGTAACTGCGCAGCCTCTGGAAACAGCAGCTCAGGGCTGTGAAGAACGTCCACCAGCACAGAAAATTCTGCCTTAACCCTCGGGATGAACTGCTCCTCCAGAAAGGACACGACCCCCTTTATCACAGAAACATAAAGCAAAATGCAGTCACGCAGGTGGACATACAGTGCCTTGCGAAAGTATTCGTGCCCCTTGAACTTCTCAACCTTTTGCCACATTTCAGGCTTCAAACATAAAGATATAAAATTTTAGTTTTTTGTGAAGAATCAACAAGTGGGACACAATCGTGAAGTGGAATGAAATTTATTGGATGTGTCAAACTTTTTTAACAAATAAAAAACTGAAAAGTGGGGTGTACAATATTATTCGGCCTCCTTGCGTTTATACTTTGTAGTGCCGCCTTTTGCTGCAGTTCCAGCTGCAAGTCTCTTGGGGTATGTCTCCATCAGTTTTGCCCATTCTTCCTGCAAAACAGCTCGAGCTCAGTGAGGTTGGATGGAGAGCGTTTGTGAACAGCAGTCTTCAGCTCTTTCCACAGATTCTCGATTGGATTCAGGTCTGGACTTTGACTTGGCCATTCCAACACCTGGATATGTTTATTTGTGAACCATTCCATTGTAGATTTGGCTTTAAGTTTTGGATCATTGTCTTGTTGGAAGATAAATCTCCGTCCCAGTCTCGGGTCTCTTGCAGACTCAAACAGGTTTTCTTCCAGAATGGTCCTGTATTTGGCCCCATCCATCTTCCCATCAATTCTGACCATCTTCCCTTTCCCTGCTGACGAAAAGCAGGCCCAAACCATGATGCTGCCACCACCATGTTTGACAGTGTGGATGGTGTGTTCAGGGTGATGAGCTGTGTTGCTTTTACGCTAAACATATCGTTTTGCATTGTGGCCAAACAGTTCGATTTTGGTTTCATCTGACCAGAGCACCTTCTTCCACACGTTTGGTGTCTCCCAGGTGCTTGTGACAAACTTTAAACAACACTTTTTATGGATATCTTTGAGAAATGTCTTTCTTCTTGCCACTCTTCCATAAAGGCCAGATTTGTGCAGTGTACGACTGATTGTTGTCCTATGGACAGACTCTCCCACCTCAGCTGTGGATCTCTGCAGTTCATCCAGAGTGATCATGGGCCTCTTGGCTGCATCTCTGATCAGTCTTCTCTTTGTTCCAGATGAAAGTTTAGAGGGACGGCCGGGTCTTGGTAGATTTGCAGTGGCCTGAAACTGCTTCCATTTCAATGTGATTGCTTGCACAGTGCTCCTTGGGATGTTTAAAGCTTGGGACATCTTTTTGTATCCAAATCCGGCTTTAAACTGCTCCACAACAGTATCTTGGACCAGCCTGGTGTGTTCCTTGGTCTTCATGATGCTCTCTGCGCTTTGAACAGAACCCTGAGACTATCACAGAGCAGGTGCATTTATACGGAGACTTGATTACACACAGGTGTATTCTATTTATCATCATCAATCATTTGGTTCAACATTGGATCATTCATAGATCCTCACTGAACTTCTGGAGTGAGTTTGCTGCACTGAAAGTAAAGGGGCCCAATAATATTGCACGCCCCACTTTTCAGTTTTTTATTTGTTAAAAAAGGTTGACACATCCAACAAATTTCATTCCACTTCACAATTGTGTCCCACTTGTTGTTGATTCTTCACAAAAATTAAAATTTTATATCTTTATGGTTGAAGCCTCAAATGTGGCAAAAGGTTGAAAAGTTCAAGGGGGCCAAATACATTCACAAGGCACTGTATGCAGAACCTTCATGAAGTCACCCCCCTCAAATCCTTAGTTCACTTTATACCAAGGCTATCACTTTGTTTCTGGCTTAAAGGGTTAGTTCTGATCTTTTGAAGTGAGGTTTTGTGGGAAGGTTATGAACAACTAATATCTTACCTGTTGTAGATAGCTCCTTGAGCTGGACCAAGACCAAAGTGGATTGCTGGCATCATAATGCCACTTCAGTTTGTTTTTTTGGCTGTTCCCTTCTTCAGGGGTCACCACAGCGAAACAAGTCGTACAAAGACTTGGCAATTATTTTTACACTAGATGCCCTTCCTGACATAACCACAGACCACTGAGCTACCACAGCCCTCTGTGTGGAGCAGAGAGCTGCTATCTAGGGCACCCAGGGGAGCAGATGATGGGGGTTAAGGGTGTTGCTCAAGGGCCTAGAGTGGGGGGAAATGATGGTGGAGACAGGTGTGAGTGTTTCACCTATCCCACCCACATTTTGATGTTGTCGGTACTGGGTGTTGAACCAGTGATCTTTCGATCACAGGTCCACCTTCTCTAACCTCTGCGCTGCATAATGCCACTTCAGTAAAAAAATAAAAAATAAAAAAATAAATTTAAATTCATGTTTCCTCTATCATTATCCAAAGAGGGCACCCTGCACTGTCAACAGAACCGAGCGCCCCGCCTACTAAATCCCCCACCCCTCCACTTTGCTCCGCCACTGCCGGACGGGAGGCGGAGATTAGCAGCTCAGCTCAGACTCCAAACCGCATGAAATGATGCAAGAGTAGCACCTCCCACCCCCGTTTATGAATGCTGGCACTAACGTAGCACTATCCTTGTCCATTCATTTAGAATTTCAATGTATTTTTCAAAATTGAAATAATTAAAAGAGATATCTACAACAGGTAAGATGTTAATTGCTTGAAATATTTCCACAAAACACAACTTTAAAAAATCTGAACTGTCAATTTTAAACATTCAAACGTAAAAAAAAAAAAGATATTAAATTGTTTCTTCTATTAGAATCAATGAACTACATTGCTTGCTTCAAACTTCACAGTGGTGAACTTCTAGTGTTCATAAATTGCACCTGCAGTTTCTCGATGACGATCATGTTGACGGGACTAGTTGAAAACTCCCTACGAGGTCGTGCACGGGCGATCTTCCAGTCTTTGACAACTCGCTTCACCATGTAGTTATGGACCTTGAGAGACAGAGTGTTGACCTGGCTGTCCAGATCAACAGGGATGGCTATGGACCGAGTTTTAGCTGGAGAAAGATCATGGAAAATTAGACATTAGTGCAAATACAGCAAAGATAACTAAAACTTAAAACTTAAAACCTCTTCATGCACAAACTTTATAACCTATGCCTAAGAACTTTTTCCCTTCTGTGTTTTATTTAGGCTTTAAATTGATCTTTGTTTGACTGAATTGTGAAGCACTTTGGTCAACTTAGTTGTTTATGAGCTACAGAAACAAAAGTGACATCAACATAAACTTCAGCAGATACAGCAGAACTTCTAATAATGTGTATTTTAATATCAACTCAATAAAAATACATTTAAACAGCTTTTTATTAGAAAAGGTACCTGAAAAAAATAACTGTAATCAATATAAGTACTACAGTAGTCCCTCACAACTTTGCGGTTCGTTTATCGCGGACTCGCTCTATTGCGTTTTTTTAAAGTACTGTATATGTACATAATATTTTCAAAAAAAAAAGTGACGCCATTTTGTAGTTTTCTTTCATTAAGCCTTCCTTCTGTTTTGCCAGTTGGCTGTGGCTGAGTGGTTAGAGCAGTCGTCCGCCAATGCGAGAGTTGGGGGTTCAAATCCACCAGCAGTCACATGCTGAAGTGTCCCTGGGCAAGACACTGAACCCCTCATAGCCTCTGATGTGTGTCCCATTAGTGTATGAATGTGATCAAAAGCACTGATTAGTCTCATTAGAATGATTTGTTCAATTAGCTTTGTAGAGATCTAGTAGAGTGCTGTATGAATGGGTAAATGAGGCACAGATTGTAGTGTAAAGTGTTTTGAGTATCTTGAAATAAGATAGAAAGGTGCTATATAAGTACAGTCAATTTACCATTTACTACCCAGAAGCCATCACCTCCTGGAAGTCAATACTGCTCTTTCAACCACTGCTTGCAAATGGAGGGAACGTTTTGCAGCAAAGTCAGAAGTTCTGTAAGTTCTGTTGCTCACAGGACTGGCAAGAAAGTCACAAATAATTCTGAAGCTGAACTCATCCTTCAAGTTGTATCTTCACTGCTGAGTTGCTGGGCTGCAGTTGATCCAAAATCAGTATGACCCGAATCCTGGGAGCTGCAGACGACAGACGGCTGCAGGATTCAGTCAGGTTCTGGTCGCGCTGTGCTGGTCTTAACCAGGCCAGAGGTGGTGGATTAAATCCTGGGCAGCAGCATGCGCACATCAAGCTGGATGAAGCGGTGGGCTTCAGTCATGCTGTACCGGGACTTTTTTCATCTATCGGGTCGGACTGGAACAGAGCTGTGGATGTTCTTCAGAGCCCTTGTAAGTAAAATTTTGTAGCTAATTTACATATAAGTACTGTATGTTGTTGAAATTAGCAGGTTTAAGAGTTTAGAGGACTGACTGTGGGCTTCATTGCTGCAGGATAGGTCTGCAGAAACTAACAGAGTCAGAATAAAACAGAGTTGGACCGGAACCAGAGTTGTTGCTGTTATGCAGAGCTAGTAAATAAAATTTAGTAACATACGTTGTTAAAATGACGTAGGTTTAAGAGTTTAGAAATTCCAAGAGTGTGGGAAGGGTTTCTAAAGCCTTAATATAAAGTTTACTGTACTTGAACTTGTACTACTATTCCTATTTTGCGGTTTTTCACTTATCACTTTTCACTTATGCTTCAGGGTACGGATCCTCCGTGATAAACGAGGGACTACTGTAATATCAACAAATTCTCACTTTAAATATAGACTTTACGTGTTGTTATAAGTTGTCCATCAGAGTTGCACAGATGTGCATCATGACTCACCGACATCAGCCAGTGTTTTGATACAGCTTTCAGTGTTGGCCTTCTGAGTCGTGTCGAGCCAGGCACAGTTATAAACTCTGTAAGCTGACTGCAGCAGCTTGACAAAGACCGACTGGTTCGTCTGTGAAAATAAAGAATAAAAATGCAAGCATTGCCATTGTGAAAAGGCTCTAAGTGAAGAGAAATACAAAAAAGCCACCTGAGTGCTCGAGGTGGAAGTGCAGCTGCTATTAAATCTAAAAAAGTTTAATGTGGTCCTCTGTACATTCAAAAAAGCAAAACAAAGCAAAACAACAAAAGAAAATATAGAAACGTTTCGTCTCTCATCCAAGAGACTTCCTCAGTCTGAGGTGCTGTTTTCAGCTCGGTCTCTTAAATAGCACCTTCTCAGAGTGGATCAACCAGTTTGCTGTTGACAACCAAAACCAGCTGATCACATGCTCAAGAAGGACCATCAGCCTAACAATGGATCATTAGCACACTGATGGCTGTTTACTGTTCACAGAGGGCTGAGTGATACTAGCAGTCACAGCATTGTAAGAGGGGGACAGTTGAACCCGGAGGCCTCCACCCCTGTTTAATGATGGACGATTTCTTTTCACAAAGATGGCCTCCTTTACTCCTCTCTCAAACCATCATTCCTCTCTGTCCAGGATGTGAACATCTTCATCCCTGAAAGAGTGACCGCTGGCCTGGAGATGAGTGTAGACCGCAGAGTCCTGGCCTGATGATGTTGATCTTCTGTGCTGGGCCATCCTTTTGGCCAGTGGCTGTTTAGTTTCCCCGATGTAAGACTGATCACAGCCCTCCTGACACTGAACAGCATACACAATATTACTCTGTTTGTGCCGGGGGACTGGATCTTTGGGATGAACCAGTCTTTGCCGTAATGTATTTTGGGGTTTAAAAGCCACTGGGACATTGTGTTTAGAAAATAAACATCTCAGTTTCTCTGATACTCCCTCAACATATGGAATGACCACTGGTCTGGGTTCCTCCTTTTCACCTGTTGGCTGACTGGAGTCCTGTTTGGGTTTCTTCTCTGCTTTCAGGAAGGCCCAGTTAGGATATCCACATTGCTCTAGAGCCTGTCTTGTGTAGGATTTCTCCTTCTGCCTGGCTCCTGAGTTAGTGGGGACGCTGTCTGCTCTGTGGTACGGAGTCCTGATGACTCCTAACTTGTGCTCCAAAGGGTGATGGGAGTCAAACTGCAAATACTGGTCTGTGTGGGTGGGTTTGCGGTACACCTCGGTTTGCAAATGACCTCTATCAGCGACTGAGACCTCACAGTCCAAGAAAGCCAACCTGCCATTTTTTACATCTTCTCGTGTGAACTTGATGTATTTATCCACAGAGTTGATGTGGTCAGTAAAATGTTGGACTTCCCGAGATTTAATTTTAACCCAGGTGTCGCCAATGTCCAGAGGACCAGATTTAACTTTTTTAGATTTTTCTACCTGGATTATTGAGCATGCATCAGGATATCAGCTGTTAAATATTCTTTGCATAAAAATGCAAAACGTCTCATCAGCTTTGAGAAGAAACACGTTACCTGCAGGTTGGAGTGGTTCACGGAGAAAGGCGAGCTGAAGAAACCCTTGATAATGGCCATCACTGTATTTGTCACATACTTCTCCAGTTTCAAATCTGCGTGAGCCCGGTCCGTAGTGGTGTTGCACATCTTAAAAAAATAAAAGCCAATGGTTCGCTAGAAGCTCATTTCACATCATCTCACCATGTACATTTTTCCACTTCACACCAAGTATGTGAGCTGATGAGGCTTTTAAGCAAGACTTCATCAATCGTGACACGCACGCTGCCTCATTAAAGAAAGAATAAGTGGTCCACGTGTGACCTTCTAATGGGAGGAAGACCTACTCTGGACATGTCAACCAAGAAGTTGTCGAAAAGTCTCCATATGTGGGGGGAAGTGTAGATTACTTTCATTTCTACCTCTGTGTCCACATAGCAGTGATTCACAAAGTTCACATATGCAGTTTTCACCTGAAAGATAAAAGAGGCCAGAACACTGCAACATGAGACAAAACGTGGAATCATGGCCAGAATAGTTTACGTTCTATATCCTAACTTGGTTTATGCAGCAAAACATCTGACCACTACCTCTGGGATGCAGTTCATATCAGTGACGACTTTAACAATGTCGTCCAGCGGTAGCAGAGAGTTGCATTTCAGCTCGGTGTAGACGTTCTTGCCCTCGGTGCAAGCTGCGAGAAGATCTACGAGTGCATTGTGGTAGGCCAAAGCTCCGTCCTCGTTGGCCCGCTCTTCCTCAGAGCCCATCATCTCCACCAGCTTTGAGAACGAGGAGCGGTCGTTGTAGAACACCAGCACGTCCTCGCCAGCGTTCACCAGCTGGACACCCAACCAGATCCAGGAGTCGCCCAACGTTATCATCGCCAAAATGTTCTAACTTGTTTTATTTATGGTGTAATGTGAACGCTGAAATGTTCTCACCTCAGTCATGACTTTGTCCTGACATTTCTTCACATACCGTCCATCACCTTTCACAATAGTCTTCAAGAATTTGAGGCACTGAACATGCTTTCCCTGCGTCGCGATGCTGTGGACGAGGTGTTGGACCACGCGGTCGCTGATCTCGTTGCACAGCTGATAGTTGTTCATGAAGATGTGACGCATTGTCTCCATTGTGTCCAGGAGCTAGTGAAAAACAGTCATGATCATTTTGGATAATCTTTAGTTGATGCAATTTGTGTAATCTGCTAGAACGACGATCAGCGCAGACTGGTCATGTCAACAAACCCCGGAAGAAAGGAAGAAATTCAGGTGTTTATGTAGGAGAACTTGATTCTGAGGGTTCCCTTTGCAGAAGTTTTGCAAAAAGTTGTTAGCCAGGCTCATGATTTCTTCCATCCTCTTATCACTCTGTGAAATAAACCAAAGAAAACAGCAGATGCATTGACAGAATCAGAAAGAAATCCACTATCCTGTTGCATCAAATTAGAAAGCCATTAAATTACAGGTTGTAAAGCAACAGAATAGAAGGAATACCAAAGGAGATGAATATTCTGCATTGCACTGTATATAGTGAGCAGGATAAATCACTTAGCTGGTTCTTGAGTATGTTCCTCACCTGCTCATATGGGATCTTCAACAGCTCCAGCACCACTGTATGTGCTCCCATGTTTTTCAGCAACCTCTGATGCTGCTCTATTCGAGACTTCTTACCAGCTTTACACAAATTACTGAGACGCACAAGGATCTACAAGCGAGAAGAAAATACATTTTCAGACTAAAACTGTAGAAAAACACATCATAAAAAAAAATTATAAAGACAAGTCACTCACCTCTTTAACTATGACATAGTTGTTGGCTTTGTTACTGTCAATCTGAGGTTTAATTTCCCCATCCTGAACTGGACTCAGAACAACCTCCTGGGAAAAAAAAAAGGCCAAACTTTTATTATTAAGATCAACTGAGTAATTATGATTTAACTTTCTAAAGTGTAACAATCCCTACATGCTGTCTGTCACTTCTAGACAATAATGTTCAGTGAAAAGGGCAATTGTAAACAGATTACCAATGTAACAAGTGGTATATCGATGTCCCTCACTGAGGGATTTCTAGTGAATGTTTGTAGATTTCGAGATGAGAATTTTACAAGACTGGAGTTGAACAGGGAATGCAAGTAAACCTTAATGTTCTTGGTGCAAGATATTCAAGTGGGTAGGAGATACACTGTGTATAAGGAAAGAGGTGTATTTTTTGTTTACCGTAATTGCCGGTCTATAGAACTCACCTAAGTGTAAGCCGTGCATATTAAATATAAAATAAAACACTACTTTGTAAATAAATAAGATGCGCTAGTGTAAAAGCCGTGGGTGTCCACAAAATATCAGAAACTATATGTATTGATATATATATATATATATATATATATATATATAGATATATATAGATATAGATATTAAGAGAGTGAGAGAGAGAGTTGGCCACCTTGGATTTTGACATGACAACCCAATTTTTGATAGTGACCTTTCTTATGCCTAAATGTAGCAAAACACTAAAAATGGAAGTTGGTACATTGCTCCAGCTCACAAGGTTAACATATATGCACATATGGCGGCAGTCAACTTGGATTTTGACGTGGCAACCCACTTTTGGAGAAAAACCTTTCTTAGGTCTAGATGTAGCCACATACAAAAAAAGGAAGTTGGTACCTCATTTATTTTTCAAGTTATCATGCTCACAACATGTCGGACAGACGGGGTATTTCCAATTTCCCCTTTTCGCTCCACACCGAGGGACAAAAACTGATTATTTTAAGTAAAAGTTCTTGCTGAGACAGATATAACTCAGGTGTGACTTTAGTCCAGCAGCCAGAGATACTAATTTTTAAATTAGAGTTTAAATTAGAGTATCATCATAGTTTCTATATTAAACCAGAGTTTGTGTTCTGTGGGACCATACACAGTTAAACGTTGGTACGTTACCTCCATGTTAGGCTCTTTGCCCTGTCTGCCCTCCAAGTCTTCACTGCCATAGCCCCCACTTTTCTCCACCCACAGCTCTGATTTCTCCACAGTTAAACGCAGCTGATCCAGGTCTGTTTTAATCTGCTTGTAGTTTTCTACATCGTTCTCTGATACAAGAAGCTGGACCTGAAACACACAAAAAACATTTGTTACAAATCAGACATATTGATACTGAAAAGACAAAAAAAAAAAAAAAAGTCTGAAAATCTGCTTTGAAAAGTCAGCACATCTTAAAAAAAAGAAAAAAAGAACTACTTCAGGTAATACAGTGAGTATCAAGAGAACTCCCCTTATCAAAGATAAATGGGAATAAAAATTATTTAAGCCTTGATATGCACGATGTCCCATGTTTTTAAATGCTGGCTCCTCCATGTCAGTACCTGTTTAAAGGCCTGCAGCACCTCAGCTCTCTGACTGAAGTGTTTGAAGATGAGCTGCAGCGATCCGGACACCAGCGATGCGTAATCTTGCATGATGAGATGAATGAGAACCCTCAAAAACATTCGGCCACGTTCATCGTCCAGCTCAACCGCAGCTAACTCGGAGCTGAAAACACAGAGGTGCACGTGGCTTCAGCTGTGTGTGCACGTTTGAGGAAAGGAAAACAACTCGTCAGCTTCCAAGCACAACTTGACCTCTACCTTCCAGCAAACATGCTCTCTGCTTTCGCTGCAATCTCATCTATGTCTGGCTCAGAAGCTAAAAGCAAAGGAATAAAAGTCAATACAGTGAGGAAAACTTCAACATAAAAATCACGTGAGAACAATTAAATATTTCTTTTGGATTTGCCCGATTAGAAAAAAACAACTCACATGTAACTGGAGGCATTTCAGCCAAAGATTCAGAGTTTTCAGGTTTTGTCTTGTCCCCAAACTCTTTCTTGTAGATGGACAGCAAGTACGTGATCCTGTAGTCCAGCCTCACAAACAGGATGAACTGACAGGGACACAAAAAGCGCACGACCATGAATCAAACCTCGACTTTAAACACGTGGGAGAACTAAATGTCCAGCAGCGGTGCGTACCTGCAGGATCTCAATGATCTTCAGCTTGGTGTCCATCACCATGACGTCCTCGTTGTCCGCCATCAAGTGTCCTTTTCCGTAACGCAGGGACAGAGGAGTGTCAGGCAAGCTGTTGGGCACACCTCGACTCATCACCATCTGAGTCATCATCTCTCCAACGCCGTGAATCGTTCGCAGGACATTGTTGCCTGAAGAGGACGTTCACTTTGTCAGCCTTTGGTTTTTGCACGCACGTGTTTGAAACCATCATTTATGTACATTGTGTGAAAGCTTCAACATACGAGGCATGAAAGGCAAAATAAACAGAAAAACAAATGCATACAAATAATAAACATGTAATTTCTCCTCAGGTCTACACGTCTATTTAGTGAAAATCTTCTTTACGCGCTTCTAAAGCAAATACTATTTTAATTGAATTACATACAAATGTACACAAAGTTCATGTTAAAATAATTTAGAGCTTTTATACTTTCATAAACTGCCTGCATACACTGAGCCGCTGCATCAGTATTTCCCATAAAGGAAACGAACAAATCATTTGGCAAAATAAAATAAAAATTTTAAAAAATCTATTTGACAAACTATTTGACAATTAAATTTAAGGAAACGTTGCTATGTGAAAACACAAACATTTTTTTGCTTTTTTTTATGTTGTCTTTGCACTGACCGGCCTCTGGACTCTTGCTGAGCTTGTTCATGAAGGTTGGTGGATGCTGGACGATGTCGAGGATGGCCAGCAGGGTGCGCGTGAGGCGCAGCAGCTCACTGAAGCTGTAAAAACCAAAGTAAACCATCTGTCGAGCCAGATTCACCACCTAACGGAGAGAAAAGAAACGTGAAACAGAGCCCACATTAAGGCTTGAAAAACTTTTCTGTCTTGCAGGTTATTAAGAAGCAGAGGAGAAACCTCAGGGCCTTCTACACCTTCAGAGAAGGCCCATAAATTCCACACAGTTACATTCAGATTCGTATTTAATATTTATTTCATATAAAAATGTCAAGTTTTTCCTATTTTTTATTTCTCATTTTCTGTAAACTGTTTTGCAGTTGTGCAAGAAATTGTTTTTAATTCACAAAATTATAGTTATCCAATCAGATCCTTTTAAATTTGTGTCTCCGGGTGGAAACATGCTTGAAGGTTCTTTCTCATTGGTTAGGACTTCACAGCCCACAGAGAAGGCACGGTTCTGTCAGACTCTCTAAGATGAGCTTGTGTAATAAATGACAGAAAAATTAACCAATCTAAATGTTGACCACTGTTTTTTGTCTGTCCAAACAGGTCTCACTTGTAAATGAGTCTTCGAGGCTCATTGTGATTTATCTGTTTAAATAAAGGTTGAATGAACGTTGAGCTGGTATAGGACCAAAGCCCACCACTTCAGGAATTCCTTTGTTTGTTTGTTTTGTGATGCATTCAATTGCAACCTGTAAATTCAAAAATCCACACTGATGTTGCAGTTGCTCTAAAAACATGAAGGTTAAATATCACATTCAGGTTCACAGTATTACAGTTGTATTGGGGTTTATTACAAGACAAAATCATACAGAAACAGTACGTTCTGCGGGTTTCTGTTTAATTTCAGAGCAAATTGTTGAAATTACATATTGCGCTTGAACGCAAGAAGCTGAGTGAGCCGCAGGGGCTGCTGGGTAGTCTTAGAACAGAAATAGGTGGAATTTTTGGGTTATGTGCTCAGATGGGTTGTCCTTGTTGGTTCTGTTTAGTGTTGGGTTGGTATTTATGTTCAGATCGTTAGTGACTGTAAAAGAAATGACACCATAAGTCAGACGTTGTGCTTGATGTACAAAAAAGGGGGAAGCACATCCTGACTAGTGGGTTTCTGACTTGAGAAGCCACAAGCTTCTGATGCAATTAGAAGCATGACTCTCTAGTGCCACTAAAGTTAGAGTGTGGCAGGTTGCAACAATGTGTTATCCTAGGTGTAGGCACGAGTCTTATTGATGGGGGAAGTTATGTAAAGGTCATGGATGTTTTCACTTACTAATGTTAAATTAATATAGACTCAAGTATGTGAAGTCAAGAGTCTCTTTGTCTACTCAGAGAGGAGTCTGATAATTGATCATTTCTGACGCCTTCAACAACTGTGAGCTGTGAAGCTGAGGTCGCCTTCACCTCACCTCTCTTGATAACGAGTATTTAACTCGTCCACAGGCAGACCTTGTGATCAGGGCTTTGTATAACATTTTGCATGCCCGTTTTCTATGCTGCACCCCCTTGCAAGGATTAAACCTGGGTTGAAAAGATCTTCCCACTTCCTTGTGTGGCTTATTTGATTAACGAGTTGATGATAGGACAATTAAATTATCCAACACTTATAGTCACAGTTCACCACTGGTACGAAGAAGCGTGATGAAAACTTGTCATTTTAGACCAGCTGTGTTTATACAAATGAACAAACATGACTTGTCAAATAATGGCTGCCATTTCAAATAACTGATCAGGTGGTTATGTAACAAGTGTGACAGCCACGGACTGTAACAAAACATCCTACACAAGCTACAGGACTATGCAGAGTTTATTTTTTTACCTCTAACGTGAGTTCATTCTTATCTTTCTCCCCGAATGGATCGGACTGGCTGACTACATCTCTAAGATATTCCTCCACAAACTCCATGGTGGAAGCAAACTTCCTCTTCATCTCCTCTCTCAAGCTGTTAGTGGAGTCATACTCAAACCTGTGGGATCAACCGAAGCAGACGTTTGGTGAGTGCAAGATCGCAACCAGAACACAAACCATCTCAGAACAAGATGCTCACCCACTGATGGTGACCTCAGAGGGAATTTCGTTCCAGAGGCGGGCGTAGCGCATCGGAACCACGGACTCCTGCGGGTCACGGTCCACGTGCATGTGCAGCATGAGGCGGCAGAAGGAGGCTCTGAGGTTGTAGGGCAGGCAGTCGTCGAACATGCAGCGAAGTATCAGATCCACGGGTAGCTGACTGGAGATCTGGTTGATGGCAAGATACTGGCGATCCAGACACATTTTAGCAAACAAGTTCAGCTGATACCTAAAGAGGTTAGGTGGATTGGGTTAAAAAAAAGGAGGAAATGGAGATCGTACATGTTAATTTTAGCTCTTTTTGTGTTATTCATGGTTTAATGTTTGACCACATTGAATGCACTGAAGAAGTTCCCAGTCACCTGTAGTAGGTAATGACATCTGTATCCATTTTGTGATTGCCCTTTTCATCCTGGGCCAGGTGGCGAATGGATTTACCATGAGGCTCCTTGTGGCTGTCGATCCAGTAGAGCCAAACTTCCTCGTCGTCACCATCCTCTGAGAGCATGGAGGGATCCATAGTGTTGTCCATGGTAGACACCAGTCTGGTGAAGAGTGTGTGTCATATAAAGCAGTTAGTTACTAAAACACTGACACGGAGCTGCTGCTGCAGAAAATATCCATTTCAAAAGAGGCAGACACACTGGAGGAAACGGTGCTCCCACACCCCGTGGAGTGTGCATGCATGTTTAAACAGGTTTAAATATTAAAAACTAAAATACGACAAGATGCTTGAAATACAGATAGCACTGGTTGTGACTCACTTGGTCTGAATGAGGATGTCTGCAATGGAGGGGTTCAGAATAAATTTACAGATAAGCTCCTGTGTGACTGGGATGGCGGTCTTGTTGGACACACAGAGATCAGACAGATAATCCAGGAATCTGACAGAGCAGACCAGACATGAATAAGTAATGTTCAACACCATAAATGTATTTAAAACATGCATTTATGAATAAGGCATCCACTGCAATACCTTAATACTGAGTATAAGATAATACAAAGGCAACAAATAATTAGAATAATCTTTCTTGGACACATTTTTTATTTTATTACAACAAAATAGGACATTTGTTATTTTGTAGGTATCCATGTCTCACCTGGGCTCTCTATTGCGCCTCAGCAGGTTGACAAAGGTCTCAATCTCTTTGGCTGTGATGTGTTTTTCCAACAGCTTGCGGTTGTTGTGCAGCAGGGCAGTGATTGTGTCTTCAGCCAGAATTTCATACCCAATCTGAGACTGCATGATGGAGAACTTCTTGGCTATATATTCCTATGTGCAACAAGAAATATACATCATGATCATTTCTGATGTACAGTAAATGTTTTAAAGTGCTGTAACACATCCTCTTAGCTGCTTTAATAAGAGCTATTTATGGTTGTTTAAGGGCTACAACTGGTGGTTATTTTCATAAAGAGTATGGAGTCAGTTAATCTTACGATCATTACCTTTTTTTAATCGATCAACAATTTAAAACTGCATATGTCAAGAATGATGGCAGGTTTAAAATTAATTATGGTTCATGTGAGACTGCCAAGCTTACCTAAACGTCTCTAAACAACTCCAAAATGTTCTCATGTTTATGATTTTTTTTAAATGAAATTGAACAATCATATTCATAACAGCAGTTTACACATTCTTATTGATATGGTGATGCCTGGATGGAATAGCAAAGGGTGATTCTAAAAACTTAAAAAGTAAAAAAAAAATGAGTGATTTGCAGCAATGAAAGTTAATTTTGTGTTGCTGTTTTTTTTAAAGCAGCACTGACTGCTAATGTATGAGGAAGTCAGTTGATGTCTTTATGTAAATATAAAACCCGAGAGAAGAATATCAGAACAAAATTAGTTCAAAGTAGGAACTTAGAAACAAGTACAAACATGCCTTATCGTGTGGTAAAGTGTGTGTGTGTGTTTCATTTTCCATGCTAATCTACAGAAATGCTAATCTGTGAAATGCTAAAAGGAAGTGGAACTGGTTGAAACTACTGTACCGATACTTATATTGAGGGTGTATATCTACATTTAAGTGAGATTTAAGTAATTTTCTAGTCTATTTATAAAGTACAATGTTATACTTTTCCTTGACTTCATTTAAGAGTAAAAACCTGCATCATCTACTCAGCAGATTTTAATTAGCTTCTAATTAGCTTAATACAAATGAAGTTAGAGACTTTAAACAATGAACAGTATTTTTTTTCTCCTTTTTGTCAAATAGTTTGGGCTTCTCTTACAAAAACAATGTACAAACAAGTGTTTAGATGAACAATTAGCATTATTTATTTAGGCTAGGATAGTTTAGAAGCTAGCTGTTAGCGCATTAATAAGTTGTTCAGAAAAGGTCCATGTTATAAATAAAGATCAACATTTCTTTATGAAACTTTGGCTTTTCTTCATTTATTATAAATATGAACATTTTAAATAAAGTTTTAAACAACTGCTTTGGGCAGTTCTTTGGCTTTTCAATCCTTACAGTCGGAAGTCATCTTACTCCTAACTACATTGCACGTTGTTCATAATTAAACGTTAATGAGTCTCATTAAACTCTAAGTAACCAAATGGATTTGCACAAGAGCTCCTATTGTACCTGGTTCTTGCGATAGTCCTGTTGTGAGTGTCGCAGCACTCTGTAGCAAAGCCTCAGCATGTACTTGAAGTGAGCGTAGCGCTGATCTCCCAGATCCTCCAACCTCAACATTGGACCATCGCCTTTATCTGAAAACGGAGCCTCCAGGATGCCAAAAATCTTAAAACAGAAACCCACATTTACAGATGAAGACCAATTCGATCTACAGCTGAAAGTACTATCAATCATTTTACAGTTTCTTAAACATAAAGCAACAATCAAATCATGTTTGTGCCTACTACACCTCAGAATATTTAGTACTTGTGAGCGTAGAGTTTACTCATGCTGACCTGAGCGAGGATGTTTTGTTCTCTCATGAGTTTCTGCCTCTCGCGGTTTGGTGTGGAGGTGACCACTGACAGAACGTCCTGTCCGTTGTTCGGCACCACACACACAAAGAAAACCAGGTCTTCTAGCAGTTTAGTCACAAACCTGAAGACAAAACGTAACTCTAAATATTAAAGCTGTGCACACACCCCTGCTTCTGTTACTGCTGCCAACTTTTGGACGTCGGTACCTCCTCTCATTCTGAGTAATGTTGACATGCTGAAGTTTCTTCACAGTGGATTCCAAGACCTTACTGGCATCATTAGCAAAGTCCAGATCTCTGACCTCCGACAGGGGAACAGCTACAATGGCAAAAGCCTCTTTGTCCTCCTTAGAGTGACAGGTGCCAATCTAATGTAAAAAAAAATGAGAAGGTCAAGAATCCATGTACTTTTACCTTGTGTGTGCATGACTGTGTTTGCAGACCGTCAGCATGACCGGACGATCCTCCTCTTCGTCGATGGGGAGATTAGTGCTGGTCACCCAGGTGGTTGAGCACAGATGCCTGAGTCTCACATAGGAGTTTCTGAAGAGACCGAACAAACCATAAACAGCAGCAGTACTTGAGACTGACCAGATGTTGAATCAAAATTTTACATCTGGGCAAAACAGTTAACTTGATATTGATCCAAAAAATATTTAAGCACCACATCTTTAATCATGCCAGAATAATAATAAGAGACTGTTGTATGATTTATCAGGATAGATTTTGGCAGTGTTTAAAGTGAATCTCTGGCAAGTCTAAGGATACTGCACACAATATAATTATGAAATATAAGATAAAATGTGATCATGTGATGCACAAATGGATGCAAAATGATATGATAATAATATGATAAATGATGAATAATGTATTATATAGTTAATATGATATATGGAAAATGGTAAACAATATATGAAACCTTGACAAACTATATATATGATATGAAGTTTAATTTATTATCAGTATCAAATGAGATATGGTTTGATATGAGATACAGTATATGGTATTATGATATATGAGATATATGATATGCAATTTCATAGGATAAGCAATATGGAAAACATGATAAGCTATATAATGCAATACAATAAACAATTTAATATAATATGTCATAATATGATAAACTCTAATATGACCATCAGCATATGGTACACAAGATGTTATATGTATAGTATACACTATGATTTAATAAACACTATATAATGTGATATTAGATATATGATACGCATTATACACATTATGATGATAGATAACATGATAAATAATTTGTTATTATGAGATCCCAAAAAAATTAAAAATCATGGCATGACACCACATTACATGATATAATGTTACACAGTATTTATTGGAATCTGTGTTGCTGCTGTGAGAGACCCACCTGGGCACGGGACAGTCAGCCCACTGCAGCGTGGTGGCGTCCAGCTCAAACAACGAGGCAATGTCGTTCCCATGGGGAACAGAAACCAGGACATAGGCAATCTTCTCCGCTGCTTGGTGCTTCTTTTTGGAGTACACAGTGTCTGAATCATTCTGCAGCACAGAGAAAAGAGAAAATGGCATGGTGTATCACAGTAAATGGCATTTATAGTAGATGTTATTTTGTTCTAACAACGTTTAAATCTACTCTAGAAAACACTAGTTGTTACCAGCACATGTTGACAGTTGCCTGACTGCAAAAGTAACAATTACCTGAACTTAAACAGGTTGCAATCAGGAAAACCAAGTTTATATTCATGTTGCAGATTGTCTCTTTAAGCTGAACATTGTTATTTATTTTAATAGTAATCATATAAGCAGTTGGTTAATTACCAGGAGGTGAGTAAATAAACAATTAAAAAGATTATCCATGCTGCACAAGCTGTAAAAGACTGGCCCACCAGAAACATTTCGTGTTTGTCACTAAAGGACAAGTTGCAACGGCAGCCATTTAAAAAGCTGGAAACACTTCCTGTATTCAGACACAAACCAAACACTCAGAGCTGCTATTTTAATAATAAAGCCTTGAATAAACTATACATTGGTGTATTTAACAAAAAAATAAATAATCAGAGATAACCTAAAAATAAATCCGAGACCTAGAGGAGAGCATGGAATGCTTAGTGTCACATCACCGTGTCCTTCTGTCCCTAACTTTTGACAAATGAGCTCTACAGTTGATAAATATTCATGGGTCCCGCTGTATGACAGAGGACAGATGGATGTGAGCCACAGTACAGTGACAGCATTTTACACTAATGAGATATCAAATTACACAGACGTGCAGCCAGAACTTTTCCTCTGCCTCGACTTACAGGCTGCTACGCTTTTGCAGATGCAACAAATAACGGCAAGGGTTAATATCTGCCGCTGTTCTCTGCACGTCAACGGGAAGCTCCCCAGAGCCGGCTCCTCGCCTCAGCTTCTCCATCCTCCCACTGCCCTCCCCCTCCCTCGCCGCTGGTGACTCACCCCACCAGTTTAACACAGTCGAGTGAAGCAGAGCAGACAGCACGTCTGCCTCCCCTCCATCGCCTCTTGCTGGGCACCCTCCACATCCAGACGTTATGTAAGGAGCCCCCTGCGAGTCTAAAATTCAGCATGTGCAGAAGAAAGTGCGCCAGCGTTGAGTTTTGTGGTTCTTTTTGTTGTTGTTGTTTTGTTTTTTTTCTCTTTCACCCTGCCAGAATACAAATGTGCCAGGCAGCAGCGAGCTGAAAGAAATGTCTGGATGTAGACTCAGAGTTTGGCAGATTTCAGGTCTGTGTGTAAAAAGAAGTCGGCAGAGAGAGAGAGAGAGAAACAAGTGGTGTTGCATAAGCAAAGGATGAGGAGACGGAGAGGGGCCTTGAATTTCTAACTGCTGAGATAATTGTTGCTTTCACTGAAACACTAATAATTACATCTGTTCCTCCACAGATCGTGAGTTTATCATTTCTAAGCCAAATAAGGAGGGGTTAACATTTTCTATAATGGCTTAAATTACATGAATTTAGCACACAATATGAAAAGTCTCAGTGGTTTGCAGTGTAACGCCTCTGAGGTCAGACGCTTGGACTCACCTCTCCTTTGCACTGTAACTTGTTGTCTTTGTATTCCTGGTTCACCTACAGAGACATGTAGACGTCAGTGACCTCAGTGTGACACAGCTTTGATTACCGTCTGTTCAACCGCAGCAAAAATATGTGATAGAAGGGATAACAACGGGAATACTGCCACCTACAGCACATCATCTAAAATCCCCTTCAGCCTTGCCCACTCTAAAACGCAACAGATAGCCCTCCGGAAGCAAAACATGTGCCCGTTTATGTGAGCTGCTCGGTGTAATCCATCAAACAGCAACAAATGGGAGCGAGAAAACTAAAGGGTGAGACTCACCTCAGCTGCGAGGTAATTCCCGGTTGCCAAGTGCTTGAATCGAAAAATGCTGTTCCAATGACCGGCTCCCCCCCTGCAGGGGTCGGAGTGCACAACCTGTCACAAAGACACAAAACGAGAACCATTAAACATGCGCAGGCGCCGCTTTCCACTCAGCCTTTATGGGATAACTTACAACAAAGTGCAAAGTGAGAAAAGACACTTTATAACGTCGCGAACGCTTTACTTCTGTAACAAAAATAGTGGTAACACTTTACAATAAGGTACACAAAATTTGCTTAACTACTAGGGAACGACTAAGGAACAAATCAGGAGCTAATGGGCAGTTAACCAGTACTTACTGGGGAACACACAGCCAAACCTTATTAGGGGACTACTGGTTTATTACCTTGTAAATGAAGAGGAACTAATCAACAAATAATGAATAGTTAACAAGGAAACCAAAGAGGAACAAATCAGAAGCTAATGGGTAGTTAACCAGTACTTACTGGGGAACACACAGTCAGTCGAGCCTTATTAGGGGACTGGTTTGTTACCACAGAAACAGAGGAGAAATTCTCCATGTGGGTTCTGAATAAACCCTGTACCAGTGAGGTCACAGCTCATAATTGTCAAAAACCTGTTTCCTAGTGATTAATAATTTTATTACCCATTAGTTATTGATTAGTACCTTCGTTTCCCAGGTAACTATCCAGTAGTCCCCTAAAAAGGCTTAGCTGTGTGTGTTGTTCCCCAGTAAGTACTGCTTAACTACCTATTAGCTCCTGATTTGTTCCTGAAATGTTCCCTAGTAGTTCATCAAATTTTGTGACCTGATTGTAAAGTGTTACCACAATATTGTATAAAACTGCAAAAACAGTTTCTCCGTCTCTTCAGACAAACGGAGGATGTAAAAGTGCTTAAAGATGATTTCTCTTAAATATAAAGTTTAGTGGTATAGATCATAAAGTTAGAAAACACTTGGTACACTGACATTCTTTACTCATCACTGCTGGACAGAAATGGGGGTTTCATACTGGTGCAGTGACATTTCAGCACAAACATGGAGACGTGTTGCTCTGGCACAAACTGCGAATCAACAGGAACTTTCAATCTGAGCCCGTTGATTAAGAGGAACGAGGTGTACAATAGATGGTATTATTAAAAAAAAAAATAAAAAAAAAAGCTAGCAGCGACTGACCTCCAGACTTTATGCATAAAGGGTAGTACATAAAGTGCAGCCTCAATCCATGAGAGGGGACAACTGAGTGAGAGAGAACTGGTTTGCAAATCAGCGTGTCCTTCTTTAAACTGTCATTTTATTGGTGAAACACAAAAACACACCAATAAATTAAAGAACACTGAGTGTGAACGTCTTTATGTGCGATCTCGTGTTACTGACACTTGATAGCTCGCGGGGTACGTGTGGAGAAAACCTCACATACTACCAAACCAAAGTTTAGCTCAACATCTGCACAGTTTGTTGAGCTAAAGACATTGTTCTGTTTCCAAAGGTCAGCAGACTGTGGCGGCCATCTTGAGTTGGTTTGACTGCTAAAGCTGTTCAGATATAGACGTACATAGAATACTGTCAGAAAGTTTCAAAGAAACCGGTCCAGGGATTCATGAGATTTTTTTTTGCTAACAGACAGACAAAATCAACTTCCTTAATACAGTGCATAGTTTAAT